GTCTCTTAAAGCCTTTCTTTACAGTCTTACAACAAATAGTTGAGTGTCATCCAGCATACTGAAAATCTCTCTGAAATTGCATATTGCTGAAATTGCATATCACAGTGGGGTTTCAAGTGACTCAGATGTACAAAACCTTTGTGTAGTGGAGTTGTGAGCAGAGACTTAGCAGCTGATTGAACTGTAGAGAATTCAAACCAAGAAGCAAATGGCTGTTTCAGGAAGAACACACACGGATAGAGGGGAGGTGAGCACGCTAGCAGGGAGTGAGAGATTGCAGAAGGATCTGGATAGGTTACAGGGGTGGGCTAACAGGAACAGGATGCATTTCAATACGGACAAGTGCAGGGTGCTGCACTTGGGCAGTAGGAACCAGCAGCACACTTACACAATGGGGAACTCCCTGCTTGAGAGCACGGAGGCAGAAAGAGATCTTGGAGTCATTATTGACTCCAAGATGAACATGGGCCGACAATGCGAGGTCATGGTTGGCAGGGCTAACCGGACCTTGTCATGCATCCACAGGTGCATCTCGAGTAGAGCCAAGGAGGTGATCCTCCCCCTCTACGCGACGCTGGTCAGGCCACAGCTGGAGTATTGTGTCCAGTTCTGTGCGCCCCATTTCAAGAGGGATGTGGACAACATGGAGAGGGTCCAGAGGAGGGCCACCCGCATGATCCGGGGACAACAGGGCAGACCCTACAGTGAGAGACTGCGGGACCTGAACCTATTCAGCCTCCACAAGAGAAGGCTGAGGGGGGACCTGGTGACCGTCTATAAACTCACTAGGGGGGACCAGAAGGGTTTGGGGGAGACGCTGTTTCCCCTAGCGCCCGCTGGCATAACAAGGAGTAATGGGCACAAGTTGATGGAGAGGAGGTATAGATTGGACATCCGCAAAAACTACTTCACAGTTAGGGCGGCTAGGAGCTGGAACCAACTTCCAAGGGAAGTGGTGCTGGCCCCTACCCTGGGGGTCTTTAAGAAGAGGCTGGATGCCTACCTGGCTGGACTCATTTGAGTCCTGTTTTTGTTTTGGGGTTTTGTTGTTCTCCCGCCCTGGCGGGGGGTCGGGCTAGAAGATCTACTAGGTCCCTTCCGACCCTAAATCTATGAAACTATGAAACTATGAAACAGAGATGACCAGTCTGTGAGAGCTGCTGGAGAAAATGACGGGCTCACTACTCACTTTGCTGAAACAAGCTACAACTACTTCAGAAATACTGTTGAAATCAAATGCTTCCGTATATTTTTCCTGCTCAGAAGCAGATCTGTACTTCTCTAAAGTTTGGGGTGGCAGAGATTCTGCATGAGAATGTAGGCCCACACCTCCAGTGCTACTATTTATGCATTACAGTATGAAATGATGGGTCTGAACACCCTCAAACTTGGAAAGAGATTAAATCTAGTCTCAGCTCCCAACTTTGATGTGAAAGCATTTTGCATATTTTAAGTGGAATGTGAAAATGCACCCTGAAAAGCTTCAAATGATTCCAAGTAGGCATTAGAACAAAGGATGAGACTAACAGGGCTGTGCAGAGACCAACAGCTGCCGATTGAGACCAGGTGAAGGATTCGAAAGGAGTCTGCTGGAATTCCCAGTAGGATGTAACAATGGAACATCATAGGCCTGTGAAGGACCTGCTTTAATTTATTGTGATTTGCTTTTAGGAGCATACACAAGCTTCTTGTACTGCTAGCGCCCATGATTTGGCATGATTCAAGTGCTACCATTTAATGTGTGAATTTGCTTGAGGTATTTCTAGCTTTGTTTTTGTGGCTGCATGTACAAAGATGACATTGCAACATGCAGAGTGTGCTCCTTTTATCTCTTTTGTTCCAGTGCTATTGCAAGGAAAGAAATGCCGTCAGTTAAAGCAGATTGGTGCAACGCCAAATCAAACTGAAGTAAACTGGTACTGCCGGTTCCAGAGTTACTGAGTCAGATGAAGTTCAGCAGCAGGCTTAAAGCTTTTTGGGGTTTTTTTTGCATATGACTACAGAAAACCGGCACCTTCCATATCAGCCATTCTATTCCCTTCATGCATTCAAATCCTTACCTGCTGACTTCAGTGACAGAAATAAGTTTTTACTCTTTGGCTAGGGATAGACATTCAAAAAGCTGGGGCCTGAATTGATTCAATCTTTGCAGGTTAGTTTAACCTGGCTAGGCTGAATCAGTTTGTAACTGCACAGACATCTCAGAAATGTAGGCACATGCCTGCAGTGGCTCAGGCTAGAAGCTGGGGGGGGGGGGGGGGGGGGG